TGGTGTATTTTTTCTGTGCAGTGGACAGTGGTCATCTGATTTCTCTTGAGAAGAACTGCAATAGGTTTTTCTTCTTTCTGCCTCACAGATTTAGGAATGCTAAAGGTTTTGCATATTCAACGTCAAACAAGAATGTCAACTAATAGTTAAGTGGAAATCCTTAAGGCTTAACACAAAGCCTTATGAAGTACTTCGTATGTCTTATAACAAAGAATAAGCTATACTGCAGGTTACAAACACAACCTTTAAAATTTACATTGTTTTTTCTTCACTAGTTTTGATAGCCACAAAGTACGGGGATACAATTTCAGAGACAGGAATTGAAAAACACCACCATCCAACTTCTTTATCACTGGTAATTTCCTAGCACTTCATGTAAAGCCTCAACCAACCCCACCTTCCTATTCTTTGGCTAGTCCTTCATATGTGTACATGTACAAAAGGTGCAAGAATATATATATATATATATATATATATATATATATATATATTTTTTTTTTTTTTTTTTTTTTTTTTTTTTTCTCGGGTGGGAGGGGGGATTAAGGGAAAAATACTAGATTTATCATGAAGCATATGGATTTTGGTCATTGATAACAAAGAAATGCATGTATTGAGGGAGACTATAATTCTCCTATCTCCTATGCCAAAATAATCTAACAGTCGTCCAATTAAATTAAAATTTTTGCTGAATAACTATGGACTGCGCTGCACTAGAATTCTGTATTTACCTTGTGAGACGATGAATCATCACCGCTGATACCAATAACCTCTGCCCCTGCTTTCTTAAACTTTTCATATGAGTCTCTAAAAGCACAAGCCTGTGGAGAAAATGCAAAAAGGTCAAGTGATGGCACTAAGAGAAACAAAGAAAATACATAGTTTCAAACAAAAGTTCAGATAACATTTTAACCATCAATCTTCAAAGCCATTTATCGGTGCAATGACAACTCGATTAAAAGGACAATCTCATACACGTGGAAGAGAAAATCCCGCATTCAGTTAGATTCTTAAAAGTGCACTGACATTCTACAATGATTCTAATTCAAGTGCAATTAAATTGACTACTAAATTGCTTATTACTCCGTATAAAAAAGAGAAGCAGAACTGCAAAAGCCCTAAGCCAACTGCACATCTGCACAGCATAAGTATAGGATATTAATCTATCTCAAAGAAAGCAAACTGCAATGGGAGCTTTACATGAGGGGCTACAAGAATAGCCTTGGAAACAGAAAACAGTTGACCAGTGTAAATCTTGGTCCTCAACAATAATGCATGTATTTGATGTTGAGTAGGTTTCACTACCACCCAATAGTTAAATCGGTCCATGAAACTTAGTATATTATTTGACAGCTTAGATATTTTATCTATTGACTTTTAACCAAAAATGTATCCAGGTTTCCAGAGATCTAGAACACTTACTCAATTTTGGAAGTACTTTTGCTAGAGGGATGAGACCAATCATTACACATTATGGCTGCTCTGTGTATCATTCATCATCTTAGCAACTATACTTTAGAGAAAAAAGAGATGCTTTTTCTTGGCATATAGTAAGTCTCATTGAATTACTGCAATTAAGCAGAAAAACTAGATTGATGGAATGGCTATTGCAGAGATAATAGATATAGGCAGCAATCATGCTACTTGGACCCAGATAGATTGCTGTTGTCCAGGGACTCTCCCTTTCACCCATTGGCAAGTTCACAAGTATTTTACATAAACCAACAAAAATTTCCCGCGACTTAAAATTTTGGCTCTGCTTTGTAGGTTCACTTATAAGGGGAGGGAAGAGGGGGGGGGGGTTAATTATTAATGTTGATGCCACCATCATATTAGAAATACCATCAGTTATAAATCAAATTATTGGGGAGAAGTACTGGCCTTTGCATATACGGGTTTGGCTCCTATATCTTACTTCCTCATTCAATAGTCGGCCTACTCTGATGCGAACTGCAGGAAGATAACATTTTTCAATGCTTCCTAAGGATGCTCGAGATAATTTGCAAATCCTTGTATATATGATGTGACCTAACTAATCCATTAGCCTATTCATCTAAATTGTTGACCCCCCTGAAACTGTTAATCACCCTGGTCCACTACTTTACATATAGCATACCTTTAACATTGTGAACAAACCAATCTAAGCCACAACTGCTAGTGAGTAATGACAGTTTCATAAAGCAAGATCATTTTCCTTGGCCTCATCGTCCAAATTACTTCATTTGAAAGTCCGTTATCATCTTCCAATAACTACTACACAGTACAATAGACACGTTTGGCTGACCAATTTTTAAACACTATCTACATGCAAAATGAAAATTAGCACCCTTGACTTATATATTATATCATTGAACATGACTTTTTAAACCCGAGAATGATGAAATCAACATTTGATATATAACTGCTCATTTCAACTCATCTTGAAGATAGTGAATAAAAGTATGCACCAACATCTCACATGACAACATAATACACATATATAAAGGATTGATATTAGAAAGCATCAACAACCAAGGTAAATTTTGGCAGAGCAAAGCCATTGGTTACCCAGGCCAATAGTGGTCATCAAATATTTAATACATATCTCTCTCTTCTACTTCATTCATGTCCAATTCTCAAACCCAGTTATACCCATATACTCTCATTGGTTACCATGATCATTAATATCTTATGCACAAAAAACACTAAAAAGAATATTAAAAATAACACTATAGGCCAATTATTACAAGACAAGTGGCGCACCCTCACCTTTGCCCACCTTTTGCTAGAGGTCATGGCATTTCTCTCTCCAAAAATGCTACTTTTTGTATTTTATAATATTACTTCATCTTCTCTCTCTTCATGCCCATTACAAAAGGGCAACGGATGGCTATGCTTAATATTCTCAAATAGTGAATGTACATAAAGACTCAATATTGCTTCAAATCTTCAATTAACCTAAACAAGATTACCCTTTGTAATATCATTTATCATTCTAATCCCTATGATATTGGTTCTTGAAGAGTTTACAAGGCTATTTAAGTAGTTCTTTCACAATGTCATCTGCCATCTCCTAAGAAAAAATAGCATAAGAATCAAAATTTATTATAGAACCAAATTTATATTCTACATATAAGGAGCAAAAGCATAACAAATAACTATGGCATATAGTAAGCCAAAATTAACAAGTGGATACGTATAATGTGTAGTTGTGTACCTTTGTTACTCAGACTCGGGTACATAGCCAAATGTCTGACTCACCTATTTTGTTACCCATGTAAGAGTGTCCAGGATTCAACATGACTAAAAGGGGTGAAATGAAGAGTCGGAGTAACATAAATTTGACCAGCAGTTAAAAATATGCAAATAAACGACAGGGAAATAAAGGTAAGGACCTGTTTAGTGCAACCAGGGGTTTCATCAGCAGGGTAAAAGTAGACAACAACAGGCTTCCCTTTAAATTTAGTTAAGCTCACATTTCTTCCATCTTGATCTCTCAAAGTAAATGCAGGTGCCAAACTACCTTCAGAAACCTGCATTTTCCAACCAAAATTCAATCATTATTATATAATTATTCAAAAACCCAGATAGAAAATTCACTCTAAAATCAGAAAGTCCCAATAAAATTATATAATTCCAGCAAAATGTTGCACCTTGGCATTAACAATGGCGGATTTGGAAGTTCGAGAAGAAAAGGGGGAGGAGAAAGGCGAAGGGGGTGATAATTTGAGGCCACAAAATTGGGATTGAGTTGAATTAGAGATGATGCAGAGATTTTGAGAAGAATGGGGTTTTGGGGTTTGGGAAGGAAGAGTGAAAGGAAGGGAGTGTTTGGGAAGAGAAAGGGCAGCCATTGTTAAAGAAAGAAAGCTTTAAATTGTTGGAAGTTGTTGTGTTAAGTTAATATGAGTAGTAGATGATTATAGTGTTGTGGGAGAAGAAGAAGAAGAAAGATAAGGAGGAAGAGGTGAAAAGGATGAGTGAGGTTTGTGGCTTTTCAAGTGGATTTCGTTTGTGTTGTGGACAAATGGTGGCCAGTCAAGTAACCAAGTCCAGTGTTTGTCCCTCAATTCACAAGCATTAAGCAATAATAAATCTATCTTCGACTCTTCGAGCGACTCAGATTGATGTCAAGTTGTCAACTGACAGCCAATTTGACTCGATTATTTATGATTCGAACTCAAATTTGCAGATCTGACATTAACCAACAATTAATTTAATTCGACTCGAAAAGAATTCAAACTTGAATAGATACCTAACCAATTAGAGTCTGAAACAATTAATAACCTGACACAACCTGTTATTGTCCTGACTCGTGATAGTTTGTAACTCAAACTTATTTGCCACATCATTGTTATCTCGCCTACCCATTGACCAGACCAAAAAAGCATGAAATTGTAGAATTATTTTATTACCATGGTAATATTGTAGAATCATTTTATTAATAGATGTTTTAAGTTTGGGTCAACAACATATAGATACAATTTGTTCATGTCACGTCATATACTTTATACCTCATGTATGCAATTATATAGGTTCGACATCATATTCAAAACGTTTGATCAAATTTTTTAAAAAACACATAGTAATTATATAGGCTCAACTAAAAAAGATCGTTATTCATCTAACTTGAACTTGACCTAAAATCAAGAATGACCTAACATGAATATTATTTGACCTAATCATTCGACCCAACCTATCTAAACTCGAATTTACCACTCATGAACCTACCTCAAAGGCTCAAACACGACTTGATACATCCCGAATCTGAAAGTGAACCTGACTTGAATTTGAATCGAATCGAACTTACAGGCGAAAAAATGCATAACTTAATCAAATCAAACTTAACTTGATATAAACCTGATTTAAATGCTAGATTTACACGACATTACTTGAGTTTGACCCAAAATCCAATTAAATTCGATCTGAACCTGTCTTGAATACTCGAATTGACCCAACTTTATGGTAAATCTTTCTAATTTTAAATTTTGTATGCTTTTGTTTCCAGTAAAAAAAAAAAAAAAAAAAAAAAAACCTCAACACATTGTTTACCGTATAAACCCTAAAAAGGGTTTTGGTTTCCAGAGTGGGATTGGGGGTGAAATGGAGAGTGTTCAAAGCGCATTTAATAAGTTCTCAAACGATGTCAAATTGATGGGATCTTCAGCTTTCCAACCACAATCATCACCTCCACCTCCACCTCCACCATCTGCTTCTTATGGGCATTCCGGTGTTCTAGTCACCAGACCTCCAAGGTACTACTTTTATTGGGTAATTTCCTCATAATTCATGCTATCTATTGATGCCATTTGTATAATTTGATAAATTTATGCTACAATCTTTATGCTATTGAAATGCTGCCCTTTTGACTGAAAATCGCATTTGGTAATGTTGGTGTTGTGAAAAGCAGTGGATTTGGGGGTTGGGTTAAAGAGATAAGTTTTCTACTAAGTATTTGTTATCTCTGTTTTCCTGCAATTAGTGGGTTTGTTAACCTGAATGAGAGTAATTGAGGAAATGATGTTCATGTTACCATCTTCTTAGGAAGATTTTCATGTTGTTATTGTTATGTTAGTCCTTGGTTAGGACCTGAATGAATAGTAATATATGGTGTAAATTGACTAGTATGACTACTTTTATGGATATTGTCCGGTAGTTCGACATGCCGGGTGTGTGTGGGGGTGGGGGGTTCTGAGGTTTGAATAGTTGCAATAGTGCACTAGCTTGTAGAGTTATGTTTCTTGACTTTGTGGCAATGAAATGGGTTCTTACTTTGGACGATTTCGCAGTAGTAGGAAGAATTTATTGGATGGTGTGATTTAGCTGCCTAGGAATTGATTATGGACATCTTTATTGGATTGTCAGTTAACTTTCATCATTTTAGGTTAGATTTAGCTAATGATTGCATATTGAGACATCTGAAAGAGAATTGATTTGGAGTACTAGGTTGATGAATTATTTGTTATGAAACCTTGTGGGGAGACATATTTTAATCCGTTTTACATTAAAATTTCAAAGGTAATGTAGTTTCATAACAATATATTAGGACGGTTTGGGTGGACTTTAGTGTGTGTGAGTTTGAGTGGCTTTAATTTATTTCTCATGCGAATAATATTAGGGGCCGTTATGTTGAGATAGGGGAAAGGGAAAGGTATGAAGAAAGGGATAGGGAAGTAAAAGAATGTAAATCCGTTTAACATGATATGTTGTCTGGGTTGAGTAGTTGAATAAACACAAAATACTCCATAGCTTCTCTCCTGCTATCACCATTCCTCTGCTAATTTGCTCCACAATTTTCTTCCTTTCTTCCTTGCTTGCCCGCCATCTTCTTTTGGGTGGCATAATGTTATATAGATATGGAGATGATGCAGATATTATGGAGGCTTCTTTTGGGTTGACAGATAGTTAATAACTAAGATGGGATAATTTTACCATTATGTCCAGACAAATCTGTTAAATTTTCCTAGAGGCACGTGGTTGTGGAGGGGCTTCTATAATTATTCCAATCCGAAGGAAATATTTAGTAATTGTACTGAGAGAAGGTTGATAGAGAAGGGTGGTCTTAAAATTCTATGAATAGGATATGAAACACATAGGTGGTTTGGCATAACTGTTTGTAATCCTAGAAATTTAGATCTGAGTATAAAATATGCAATCACAATTTCAATTTATTTAGCCAAACTTTCCCTCTTTTAAATGTCAAATTGTGTGGAGTGGACGTACTGACATGGATGGACATAACAGCAATAAAAAAGATCATTCTTAGTGCTGCTAAAATGACCTTGTGAGTTGTGAATTTGTGGTTGAATGACTTGAATCTATTGAATGAGCCGCTTGAATATAATTGTTATTAATGTGATGCTATCGAAGATAAGTGATGCATATTGGCCGCTTCCCTATCAATCATAGCAAAAGCTGCATGCCAATTCAAAAGCCTTTTGACAATATATTGATAGAGCTAATCTTTGTCTATATTTTTAATGAAGTATAACCTAATTCTAGATGTCACTAAATTTCGAATCATGCCTTATGTGGATGTTATCTCTTTGATCCAGAGATGGGAAGCTAGTGTAATCCTGTGAGGTAAGGAATTTCTAGAGTAAGCTTAAATCAACTGTGGTTTGCATTTGGTAACTTGACGGATATTTTTTTTATATCTCCATCTTATCATATATCTTGTTCTGCTGGATAAGTTAAGACTGAAAGAATAACATATTGAAGTTGCATTACTTGCATAGGAGGATCCTTGTGTATAACGGTCATCCCTTTTGGTTTTGTGCCATTTCATATATTTTGCTAATATGCCCTTAAAAGATCCCTTTGTCTTTTAATAACTTAAGTCATTCATGCTATATGGATTTGTAAATGAAAAACAGATATGGGATGTGGGAAGAATGCTTGCAATTCCCCATTATATGCTTTATTCTAAAATTCAGTTTGGATTTTAACCAAAGTAATTTAAATCTAAATGCAGTGTTGATCAATATATAATGGCAGATTAAGGCTGAAGCAGAAACCAAGCTTCACTGCCAAGCAGTAAGGATACATTGCTAGATGTATGAATTTTAGTTACATGATCATCCATAGATGTGATGTTATGGAGTGTGGATATAATCCTGGATATTTTATGGTATAGGGTATGGGGTTAATGACCTTGTAAATTGGCTGCTTAATTCAGTCTTTTTCATTGTAATAAGCTAGCCTGGTGGAGAGTTGTGACAGTCATTACCAGTTTGGTAGTGCATGTAGGTCATCCATGTAAGTTCATTTTTGTCGTAGGCCAAGACCCTGGAAGACTGGAACTTGGTTTAGCATACGAGAAAGTTGTTGACATCAAGATCCACGTCATCTAGCAGAGGTCATTCTTTGAAGATACCTTGTCTGATTACGTGTTTCATCTTGTATCCTATCATTTTCTTATTTACTGTCATCACACCAAATGATCAAATACCATCAAAGCAAATCATTAATTCCAGAAGTGCTGCCATGTAAAAAGAAGAAATGGTGGGACTGTGGGATATAGAGTGAGATAGAATTTGAATGTAAAGAACCCTTTGGAGCAGAAGTGATGGTGGGTATGGGTGTGGTTCAAATGTCCTAGCTCTTTTGTTTAATCCTTGGCCATGTTGCTTGCACTATATGAACACTTGGAATAGTTGCTAACTTGCTCTTTAGTAGCATCATAGAAAAACATTGGGATTCAAAAGAATGTGGGACTCACTTGGCTTTTGCTGATGTGTGAAGACATCACGGCTTCATGGGTAAGTTGGATCAGTTACCTAAACACCCTTGTTGAAGGGATCATCTAAGGATATCTATCAGACTTTGTCTTGTGCAATGCTTTTATTGCAAGTTTCTGCTAAGTCATTGCCGCATTGGCCTTTCCTTATTTGTTGCAGACTCAAGTAAAGTAAAATAAATTATTGAGATACTACGGAAGTTTATTGGGACATGGTCTAGGTGGTGGTCGTTATAAATTGTTGCATCAACTCACTAGGAGGCTGTTATTTACAAATTAATTTAGGGTTTGTTGGATAGCAATCACATAGGGAAAGAAAGGTGATGAGGGCAGGTGAAGGATAGGAGATTAGGAAGGGGATTGGGTTTATTTAAAAGGGGAGGGTAAATGAATTATTCCAATTCCTTTCTCTTCCTTTCCTGAAAATGAATCCTTGACTTTCTATTCCCTTCTCCAAACATACTGTTAAAGGATTTTGGGCTGAACAATTCCTCGTATTCTATGCTTTCTTTGCAAGTTTCTGCTGGGACTTTGGGGTTCACATGTGTATGGTATACTCATGTTAACTAGAACTAGAAAAATATGTTCACATTTTAACAATTACTAGGACAAGCTGTTTCAGTTGTGGTGTATATACTCTGTTGTTTAATTGGGGCCTTGGTGTTTGCCATGAAATATTATTGACTCCAATTGAGACATGATGTAGGCGGATACCATATAGTTCAGACTTCAGAGTGTTGACTGGTTGAATATGAATTTAATTATAAATCTTTATTCTACAGCAAAATGTTGCTAAAACATATATCAAGGGAACATATTGGGCAATAATGGTGACTGTTAAAATGCTTGAAATTCCATATCCATGCAGCCTTTTTTTTTTTTTTTTAATTTTTTTTTATTTCTCTTGCTATGTTCAGGTCTCAAACAATGTTGCACTTGAGGTTATTGACCAGTTTAATGTCTTGAAAACTTTTGTTTTCACCCTTTGTTTTTTTTGTGCTTACTATGGAATTTGGGCTTCAAAGAAGGGTACTTTAAAGTGGATAGCATCATAGCAACATAGAAAGCTTTGTAAAGCTGAGTCTTTGTGATATTTTGCATATAAAGTAAAGGCTTGGATTACCTCTCGACGTTCTGCATTCATGTAGCCACAGTTTCTTTTAAAGTGACTCAATGAGTCTTGTGCTTGAAGATGTGTTTCTTATTCTCATGCCTCCTAATGGCATGATAAAACAAATTACATCACTTGGACGACATTCAAGTTAAAATACGTTGTATTAAAATTCTTTTGAAGTTCTCTACTATAAGTTAGACCATTTTTGCTGAGAATCATCTTTGGTGATGACTTTACTACTTACAAGGGGCCTATTGGCATAGGCTTCTCTCCTGTCTAGTCTTTGAATTGAGATCAAGTATTTGCTATTCAACTAGTCTAAGCAATTAAGATAGCTCATGTAACTAGGACTAATGCTTTGTTCTATATCTTCCTCAATCGTTTATAAGTAACTTGTAGCAAATCCTATTTGCGAGCATCTCTTATTTGTCTTATTGTCCTTTTCATTTCCCCTATCAAGCTTGCCTTGGATTATGAAAGTATTGTGTCATTTTCTCAAACTTTTGCATCTGTATGCAGACAATCTGTGTCACTGTGGACATGCTCTAAGCTTTGTGCTGTTTGCTTTGTTGCTGGGATTGTTGTCGGCTACACTTTGAAGCGACGAGTTAGACGCTGGCTCTCCAGTCTTGCGAGGAGATTAAAGGATGACTGAGAAGAAGCTCTTTGCTACTGGTATGATCTTATAGCTTGAATTTTTAAAGACCCGAGAAACAAAGTTTGACTTTTCCTTCTCTAAACAAACTCAGGAAATCATATCTAGGAAGATTAATAGGCCTCTGTCTCACTTTTGGTGTATATGTGATAGGGCTTCAGTAAAATAAAATTGTTAGGCACCCAAATACTTTTCAATGTACCTTGGTGATTTATATTTATGTTGAGTGATTGAATATGTTCACATATATATCGTATATATTTTTTGTTTACCTAAAGTATATACTGCATCGTTCATATAGTATACTGCAGGAAACACCCGTGATAGTAATCGTGTACCTCCAATTGGTATTGGTGCCAGGACTGATCGTCATGCCCCCTCCCCTCCCTTTTTTCCTGACATAGGGGCTGTTCTTCAGATAAGAAAAAGAAGAGAGAAATGGGTTGAGGAGAAGGCATTTAATGATTTTATATTTCATTACAATGCTCTATTTTGTTTTGGTTTGAAAAAGAATAATGCCAATTCTGTTTTAGTAACAATATTGTTACTCCCTCCGTCATGAAACGTTGGACTTCTTTTACTATTCATGTACTAGCTTTGACCATAATTTTTTACAAATATAATAAAAACATATTTAATCATAAAATATGTTGTTAGATAGGTATTAATATAAAGTTTTATAATATAATTTTTTAATAATTTCATTAATATTTAATTATATAAAAATAAAGCTAAACTAGTGCACTAACATGTGTGCAATGTTGACAGTCAGAGGACCGAGGAGTATGTTTCTATAAATGAGTAATACAGACTAATAACCTGTTTTCTAAACTTCGTATTTGATATGCCACTTAATTTTCATACAAGTATATCAGGTTAATAAGCTGCAGTAGTGTCACCTAATTCATCCCTTCCTAGCTTCCCACCCCCTTCAACCAAAAAAGGCGAATTATACTAGTAAATTCAGAATTTTTGGTCCAATATAACATACTCTCTCTGCACACAATTATCTGCAACATTTGCCATAAATGGGTGCTCTCTGTTATGTGCAACAAATTTTTTTCTTTCCTCTTATAGTAAATGTGTTTGAGTTCGTGGGTTTTGTGGTGGGTTTCGATTCCAGATCTGGGTTTCGTGGCCAGATCACCAGCACCACCGCGACAAGACCCTAGGTCGTCGCGCAATTCTCCGACCATCCCCTACCCCTTTCCATCGCCACTAATCCACCACAACCAATAATCTGAGTTCGTGGATTTCGGTGGTTTGACTTCGTGGGTTTCGATTCCAGATCTGGGTTTGGTGGTGGGTTTCGGTGGTCTGAGTTTCTGGGTTTCGTGCGTTCTTGGAGTCGTGGGTTTCAGTGGTGGGTTTCTGTGGTTTGGGTTCGTGGGGTGTTGGTTTCGGTGGTTTGGTTTGTGAAAGATAGAACATTGTTTGTGGGGTGGTGGTTTTGGTGGTTTGGTTTTTGGGGTGGTGGGTTTTGGTGGTGGTTTCGTGGGGGTTGCGTAAGTGGGGTTGGGTGTTGGTGGTTTGTGGGGTGGCGTGGTGGTTCTGCGTTCGTGAGTGGTGGTTGTTCTCCAATGTTTAATTGTGTTTTTATTTTATTTGGATTAATTATCCCTTCGCTCTCCTCTTAATTTTCAATAATCTTGTTTAAGAAATTTTTCATAGGAGTCCGCAAAAAGGACGTTTGGTGCAGATAATTGTGGGCAGAGGAAGTATTACAAATTAGGTAGTGAATTGCGCACATGTCCTAACCCAATTTTACATCTAGCTTAAACAAAACTTGGGCAGCCGCGATTATTTAGTTCTTAATTAATGAACTGTCAATACAGTTTATATCATCTAGAAGGTGTGGCTGTCAAGAATATATCTTTGATGCTCCTCCTTCTCTTTAAAATACTACTAATTACACCTAATGAAACATATATTTTCAGTTTGTTAATAGTTAGCATACCAACAAATTTTACTGAATAACATAATAATATTTTGATAGACTAATCACAAATTTAAAAGAGATTAAGGTCAAACATTGAGCTAGTTGTTTAGTTGGTAATCAGTTGACAATTTTAGACGTGCGATCACGTATCAAATATGACTGGTGTAAGCTAAGAAGTAACACCGGCCTCTGTATATTATAAAGTAGCAAATTTTATTAATGTGAAAAATAATTTGTATATTTATTTCAATGAATATAGTAAAGTAAGGTACATAGATCCTAAAACCATGCATGAAATAGCATGTTTGTCAAAGACAAGAATCTTAGTTAAATTAAGGGCTAGAACTATATGATATTCTATAGGACTATGTAGTATGAATTTTGTATTAACATTTGCTATAATTTTTTCATTTACAAAGTCACCCGAGTCGATTACGATGGATGTGTATAGTATATGTATACAATGTTACCGAGATTTTCTCAGTAAGAATGTCAGAAATCTGAATACTTACATGTTACAATATAGGCAAAAAGGTGGATATGGTTAGCTTAGCTTGCTATTGACTTATTGGTTTATGTTTTAAGGAGGGAGGGAGGGAGAAGGGAGGAGGTAGAGGCTATATTTCTGTCCTAAAACTGCTCTTTGTGAAACTCGAACCGAGTTGATGTCTTGTGACTCATTTCATGAGATAATTTCTTCAACTCTTTTGCTAACACTGGTCGTCCGCAGTAGAAAACGCCTGCATAATTAACCACATTCGTTAAAATAGTTGATGGATACATATACTGTGTTATTCATACTAACATGAGTATGTGTTCAAGTCTCAGATTAATGCGTGTATATTCTTGTTGGTGTATCGAGGATAATTATTACCCTCTCTCTTCTTATTATTAATATTATTCAGGTGGTGCTTGATGTCTCACATAATAGGTCAAAACAAAGATATGGCAAATCTATGCCTAGCTGAAGAACTTAGTTCATAATACAGATTAGGTGGTGGGTTAGAATGTATAATTAAGTAGGTATGTTTATGAAATCCTTGGTGGTTTGAATGAACTTCAAGGAATATTTTGCTTTAAAAATATGTGCACCCTTGGACAGACTTGAAAGACAGGTTAAACCTGCAAGATTTACCTATGGTGCTGTATGGATGTTTTTTAGCTATTTTAGCAAACACTTCTTTCCAATCTGGTCTTGCAAAGTGTGTCTTCACCTGCAGCACATCAGCATCGAAATGCCTGTTAGTAACTTGTCTGGCTTGAATCAAGATTAGTTCAGAAATGAAACAATTTGGTAGAATGAAAATAAAAATGAATGATGCAGTTTGACTAGGAGACTCATTCTAATTCCCTCTCTTTTCTGACCTAATCATCATTATCATACTTTGCAGTTGTAAGCTTTGAGGTTGTTAGAGATGTGACAGATGATTTCAGAAAATTAATAGATTACTGATAAGGTAGAGTAGGTCATACCCTGGTACCAGACAATATATCAACACCATACTTGGCATGAGTCAAAGCTTGGACCAACGTTAGCAGGGTTGATCTCGCGTCACCCTCTTCGTACACGCTAGTAAGGTAGTTGTGCATCTCGATCAAACCCTATAGTAATTTTGAACATCAGTGTAAGGCATTTTTTTAACATCATCTGTGAACATAATTATGTTATGATGATATGACTTTTGCGAGTTTTACCTTATGATCCATTTCTGCTACTTCATCCATCACCCCTTTGAACCATTCGAAGGAGCCAGGCTCCCTAGTAACCCAGTAAAAATGCGCACTCTTTACTCTCATTGGTCTTTTGTTTGTACTATGTGATGTACTTGTTGACGCAAAGCTGCTTAAGCTTTCATCTGATATAATACTCAAGTCAGTGGCATTCGAGTCCTGTAATTTATCAATTAGACAGTTAGCAGATATATCATTCTCAATCATAGCAGAAAATCCACATTATGGGTAGTAAATTAGACAAGCTTACGGTTGCTGCTCTTGCATTGTTAAGAAGATCTTTCAGAATGCTGATAAAGGGTGTTGCTCCTATTCCTAGTCCCACGAGAAGCAATACATCGTAATTCTGGTATTCTTGTGCTGGTGCGCCATAAGGTCCATCAACATGTAGTCTAGGTAAACTGAAGTGAATGATTTTGACATTTGTGTAAGTTTCCTCAAGTAAGTAGGGAAATTCCTAATGGAAATAGATCAAGTTTTTTACCCGCTTTGACGAATGTGACCCTCTTCCCCAAATTTAAGCCGACCAATGGAAGAAACTGGCATTTGGCCTTCAGTAAGAACCCGCTTTAGCTCTCGTGTCCAGTCTCCTACGATCCTGATGTGAACACTGAGGAAGTTGTCTCCTGGTGCTGAGGTAATAGAAAATGGGTGCCTAAATAGGCCGATGATTTCATTTAGTATCCGATGAAGGAATAATTATATTTCTAAAATAAAACTCTGAAAGAAAAGCAGGTTATAGCTTACCATTCAAATTTAGAAATGCAAGGGCACTGGACAAAAATGTACTGTCCACTTTTGTACTTGAATCCTTGAGGTTTTGACATCATTAGGCTGAAGACATTTCCTGGTAGCTCTGAAACCTGAGAAATACGGAAACCTATCGTAAATTGTCTGAATTTTCGACAGTTTTCCATGTAAAATTTCTGGTTTAAATAGTTGAAGATTATGGGAGGAATGTAATGATAGTGGTTTCTGCACCTTCAAGAGTTTAACGGAACGAATCTCTGACCGACAAGTCCTTAAACTTCGTTCAGCTATGTAAAGCAGGAGTGGAATAGCAATATACATCCATGTCTGAAAACACATAAAAATTAGATCAGGAAATGCTGATGTTGATCTCATTTACAGAGTAGTCTTGCGAAAATGGATTTTGGTATGAGGTCTTACCGTCTTTTTAGTCCAATCCTTTACTAGGAACAAGAAGAAACCATGAACCAAGAGCAAGACGTAGACTATAGCTAGCAAATGGTGAGCATACCAAAATGCGTTGTATCCTGCCAATCTGTTGAAGGGTGTTGGTAGCTTCACTACATTTCTTCTAAACCGGCTTGTTGCTAATGTGAAGGCTATCGTCATCAAAACCACCATACCAATACCTGTAACTCCTTCGATACCTTTAATAAGATCCCAGTATGTTGGCTTTTTGTTGTGGAAATCGGAGGCTATGAGTGCAAATTTATCAGGAGAAGAGTTGATCAAACGAGGAAAATCACATGTCAAATGCATTCCTGCATGAAGGACCACTCCAATTGCTATAGCACCCGCGATCATCTGCAAGGTCATCATTGATTTAGAATGATGTAAGAGTGCGTTTACTAAGAAGAGTATACTTGTATATGGGACTGATTGATATCCTAGCTACATCATTTACCTTATGGAAGTTGATGTTATCATCAAATGGGATGAAGCATCTGATTCGAGTGGATCGAAGCCAAGTAAGGGTGTTCCTTGAAACCGGAAGTAGGATCAAAGCCATGTTGAACTTAAGGGTTTCTGCGGCCCCTTTGGCTGTGCATAAGCAATAACCCATGACTTGAAATGCGTTCTTTTGTCTGTACTGAAGAAATTTCCAGATGAAGAGGGAAGCCATCGCCGTCACCCACAGCAGTAGAATCCACCCTCTCTGCCAGTTTTCTAAGATGAGGCACCTCAATGTGCAGCTTACTTTCCTCACTATGCTTATCGGCCGTAAGTTGCCCAAGTTTTGACTCCACCCTGCACTTACTGTGCTTAGTGGCCTGCTGTACTCCATGTATACATCTCTTTGTAGCAGTAATGCTTCTAACTGCCATAACTGTCAAAAACAGAACACAATTGTTTTACCTTAGGAATTTATTTGTGCAATGGGGCTTTTCCGCGCTTAATATTGTGTTCTCTTGGATTTAGTATCATTTACGTGTGCATACGTTCATATGATGCTAATCAAGGAATTATAAGTAATAGTTCGTATCAAGACGTTCTCTAATCACTAACATTATAAGTTGAACATGATAAGTACCTCAATGTAACCAAGGTTTTCAGGGTCTAGCTCTTCCATAATCAAGTTTGCATACTCATGTGCTTGTGACTTCAAAGCTTTTAGATTATTTGCTGAAGCACTAAGCATAATAAGCTGCATACAATCAAAATAACAACTTATTTAGAGAATTAATACAATCAATAATAAATAAGGCAACAATATGGTTTAAACTGTTTTCCGGGAGGAACAAAAAATGTCACAACAATTTTAGGGGCTTTTCCAACAAATAAACCCGTCACATAGTTATGAAACACCAAAACGCCTTTACATATGTTAAAATATCAAAAAACACCCCTGAAATTGGATCTTTTTGCTTATCTTTGACAGGATGACTCGGAAACAATTTTCTTGGAAGGAACCGACAACCTTGTATACATAATGAATGCGGGCAGATTGCGCATCCATATCCTTTGTATAGTACAGCATAGTTTTCGCAACGTATCCGCAAATATAAACTTTATGCCAAAAAAAAAGGAGGATAAAAAGAAAGTTCTAAAGCTAGTTAAAAACAGGACCAGTATACTTTTGCTAATGCAAGGTAGCTCAATAGTCGCCCCTATTAAGGCAAATAAGAGAATATATATATATATATATATATTTTTTTTCTTTAACATAAGCTGGCATCTAAAAAGAAAAAGGAAGATATATATACTAATATATGATCATATCATAAAGAAGAAACATTAACATCAAATGACAAACTAGACTTACAAACAAAAGCAACTTTGATTGTTTTTTGCCCAATCAATCGAATATTTTCCAATGATGGTTAATCTTACAATTTATAAACCAAAGTTTTCCTCATTGGAGAAGAAAAGTTCCAATAAGAGGTACAACAACTTAACTTACCAAACAAATCTATTGATTTTAATTAGGTGAATGCAATTATTGTCTTTATAATTGGTATGCAAAGGAGATCTGAATGTATACTAGTTGTTGCTTGTGCAATTATGCTACAAACCAAAGTGTATTTTGGCTCATTAGTTAAAGCTCTAGATTTCTAATCATTCCATTTTTTGTACATTTTTTTTATTTCCCGTCTTTCGGATTCTTCTTATAGGCTTTTCCAAGGACAATAACCACCCTTAAAAGAACATAAGTCATTTTCCTGCCGTTTACTTCACATACTAAAAGTAACACTACATCAACAATGTTACTAAGTCTTCAATACGCGATAAAATGACCGATATTAAGAATCATCAACCAGATAATGATGAACTGGTTGATGATTGAAAAATACTGTGTTGAAGAATAATTTTGGCATATTTTTTATTTTCTTGGTAACAGCGACAAAACAACCAACATCTAGGAGACCAAAAATAGAATAATATAAAAAGATCGGTTTAATAGAAAACTACAAATTACCTCTTGGACTTCTTCTCTTGTTATTCTTCCATCTTCATTGCTATCTGCACTGTTGACATGAAGCATACATGCATCATTATATTTTAGACTATTTCCAAAAAAATAAAAAACATTTTTCTTATGACTCAACAACAAGCTACTTTATAAAATTTTTACCGCTTATGTTAGTTTTGTTCAGAGTACGGTCTCAACCGTAAATAAAAACATATAATTTTTATTTTTTTTTTCATTTTTCTATATAGAAAAAGACCCCAGTGGCAGAAAATCACTAGCAATTCACCATAAAAAGTATGACTTCTGTAAGTGACAAAGAATTTTCACTTTTTAAGAAATGACCCCAATGTTGAAACTATATTTATAAGTAATATTTTTTGTCAAAAAATGAAATAGAAATTTATAATGGGATATAATGAATTAATTGTTCACTATAAACCTGCCCCACAAATCATAATCAACCCAAAATTCCAAATTACAACCTCCAAAATCACCTGTTACATGAACCTAAAATGTCACTAATTCGCGATTTAATAAAAAAAATATATTATGTCGCGAATTATTAAAGAAATAATAATTCAAAAGAGAGAAGGTAATGAAATTATTACATGTCAAAGAAAATTTGAAGGCGGGCATCGAAGCTTTGATTGGTAAGTTGCAACCAAAAATCTTGCAACTCTTCTTTACTAATTTTACTCAATCTCTGCCTCTTTCGCCTTGCTAATGCATCAAATATTCCCACCGCGAACTCCTTCGAGTCCATCCCTAAACAAAATAGATAAAACGACATCAATTTATTATTGGTCGGGATCATTTAATTTATATTAAAACATCGATAAACTCGATGATATTGATAGGAAAAAAAAAAAAATAAAAAAAAAAAAAAATCGTCGTATAAAGGTAAGAAAAAAAGAAAACGAACCAATGCAGGCCCCAAAATCTTCCCTAGCAAGCAACCCAGACGGAGCTAACTCATCAAACTTTTCTTCCACTTGTTTCCACAACTCTTCACATCCACCGTTATCCCCCGTCCTCGGACACGTTGTCGTTTTACTGATAAATCGTAACCCCGTCAGCGCCCTTTGGGCACCTGACGTGGTCCTTTGAAGTTGTGCTTTCATTTTTCTTTTTTCCCTATCCGTCATCGGGGGCGGAGGCTGATTATCCCCCGCCTCCGATGACGCCCTAGAAGAAGGCCACCCAAATTTCTTCCTTAATTTCGAGGCAGCCGATAGGCTCCTCGACAACAACCCACCACCGCCAGAACCCGAGGCTCCATCCTCGGCTCTTACACTCCTAGGTGTAACAGCCCTCGGAGTAACACTACATATATAAATGTTATCATCCTCGAGTTGCAACTCCACCTCGACGAGCTCATCGTTGTTCATCGAGGTGGAGGCTCGGCCAAGATCATTAAGAAAGACAGGCAGCATTGCACCACCAACCGACGACGAATTATCAAACCCTGTCTCCTCGTCGGGTAAATGAAAGCTCCTACTGTAATTCGATCTCCTCGAACCGCTCGGGCTCCCCACCGATGAGAGTCTCATCGCCGATACCTTCTCTCTAGCACTTTGAAATGGGCAAAGAAATGGCTGAGAAGAGAAGATAATAACCAAAGGAGGGGGGTGTGTCACACGCTTGGTGGGTACTTCTGAACTGATTAATTACCTCCTCCGCAAACATGAATTCAACGCCTTTTTTTTTCTTTTGGTTTGAGTATTTTTCAGAGCTTGTAATTTGTAAGAATGGTTGTGAATAATGTGTAGGAGAGAGAAGTAGGTGAAGTTAGGGGGGTTTTATATAATTATATAAAAAATTCTTTTTAAAATAATAATAATGAGAAAAAATTAATAGTATGAGAATTTGTTTCTCAACTTTCTTTGAAGGGGATTTGTAAACCGATTTATACAGCTTAGTAGATAACGACTTGTTGGTACAATAATACTACAATGTACTGGTGGAACTGCACATTTGTCTATTGAAATTATACCGGTGGAACTGCACAAAACCAGCGGGCAACTAAACACCCAAAAAGAAAAGAAACTGCTCGAGGGTTTTGTTTTTGTGAGGAAAAATAGAGAGGAGAAGAAGATTGCTGTTCGTATTTTTTTTTGTGTATCAAAAACAGGAAATCAACACGCCTTTTATAGGAAAAATTGCAACGTAACTGCTGCTGTTTAATTAGGCACTAATCACGCAATTAAAACGGTCATAAGTTGAACGTTCAAAACGGTTACAGAAGATTAATGCGTGGCAAAACGTTTAGCAAAAAATCAGTGAAAACGTTTGCATGATTAACGCTCCATTAATCAGTTTTGAATAAAAACGGTCAACTGCAATCAGTCAAAAACGTTTAGCAAAAATCAAGGAACTAATCACGCAATTAGCCTTGTCCAAAAAATAAGTTTATTTAATAAACCCGACCCGACCCGACCCAACCCAACCCGGCCCGGCCCGGCTCGGTTCGGTTCGGCGCGCGTGTGTGTGATAGATGGTTTACCATATAGGTCCTCCCTCTCCACAAAATGTGGGTAGCCCAAGGGCCACACCCCTTTAGCCCACTCTCTATATTATAAAGAGAGTAAAACTCTCATTTCCCACCAATGTGGGACTTTGAGTTTTTCACAAAATTCACACACTACACACTTGTTGTTCCAACAATCCCCCACTTGAATTTTTTGAAAACATTTTCGAGCAGAATCCATACATATATAGGTTGCGCATAAACAGAAGTGTTTTTCAACTTGAACTTCGACGTAGTGAGTACGATTCAGATTCAACAAGGGTGACTCGAAGTTTTGAACCCTATCTCTGACAACGTACCCCACACAACCTACTCTTGGTGTTGTTCTAGACCCGTGCTATTTCGGCCATGCACGTCTATCCCAGTGTAGTGAATGCTCTAGAAATGCTGCCACACATTTCATAGGAAGCGGCCTAACTTCCACATTCACATAGGTGAATCTATCAAGAGTACTCCTGTAGCTTGGTACTCCACTCCAAATTGGAGTATAGATTTCATTAAGAGTTCCTATTAACTCATCCTTGATCGCTTCAGGAAATTATGTCTTTTGAACATATTCAACTCATAACACACCATAACTTGTTATTACCCTTTGAACCTATTTCTTGGGATCTCCAGTTCATAGGTTGGGTTACCATTATGTGTGGTTCATTTCAATGGCAATAGTCCCATTTTCTTAGAAGAAAAATGGACTTTCTCCCTAGCTAATCCTTTCGTCAAAGGATCAGCCAAGTTATTCTCAGTGCGTACGTGATCCACTCTAACAGCTCCGATAGAGAGATATTCTCTCACAGTGCTGTGCTTACGACGTATTTGTCGTCTCTTACCGTTGTAATAACGGTTCTGAACTTTTGCAATAGCCGCGGTACTATCGCAATGGATCAAGACAGCCGGTAATGGCTTTTCCCATAGGGGAATTTCACCTAGCAGGCCTCTTAACCAACCTGCTTCTTCACTAGCCGTAGCTAGTGCTATCATTTCTGACTCCATGGTGGACTGAGCCAAAATAGTCTGTTTCCTAGACTTCCAAGATACAGCTCCACCGGCTATAGAAAAAATATATCCACTAGTAGCCTTAGAGTCATCTGATAAGGTGTTCCAGTCAGCATCACTATAGCCTTCTAGTACAGCTGGAAACCTTTCATAATGCAACCCTAGGTTCATGGTCCTCTTAAGGTATCTCATGACCCTTTCAATAGCATGCCAATGCTCATTACCAGGACAACTAGTAAACCTGCCTAACAATCCCACGACATAGGCAATGTCGGGTCTAGTACAATCAGTGGCATACCGAAGGCTGCCAATGATGCTCGCATAATCCGATTGCCTTACGGCATCACCAGTGTTCTTAAATAATTTAACACTGGAATCATAAGGTGTACTAGCAGGTTTACAGTCAAAGTAACTATATTTCTTTAGGATCTTCTCAATGTAATGAGATTGATCCAAAGAAACTCCATTTTCTGTCCTAGTAATCTTAATTCCAAGGATTACATTAGCCTCTCCTAGGTCTTTCATATCAAACTCAGCATTCAACAATAGCTTTACATCATTCACAGCATGAATGTTCGAGCCAAAAATTAACAAGTCATCCACATATAGACAAATTATAGTGCATATGTCATTCTCAAATTTTACATATATGCATTTGTCACTACCATTTATCTTAAAACCATGTGAGATGACTAAGTTATCAAATTTTTCATGCCATTGTTTAGGTGCTTGTTTGAGACCATAAAGAGATTTATCTAGCTTACATACCAGATGCTCTTTTCCTTGAACAACGAATCCTTCCGGTTGATCCATGTAGATTTCTTCTTCCAATTCACCGTTCAAGAATGCAGTCTTCACATCCATTTGATGTACTACAAGATTAAAAACAGAAGCAAGAGATATTAATACTCTAATAGATGTTACTCTAGTTACAGGTGAATAGGTATCAAAGAAATCAACATTCTCCCTTTGTCTGTAGCCTTTAGCTACTAAACGGGCTTTGAACTTATCAATGGTCCCATCAACTTTCAGCTTTCTTTTTAGGACCCATTTGCAACCAATTGACTTGCAACCTGGTGGCAACTCAGTTAGATGCCAAGTTCGATTAGACTCAAGTGAGTCCATTTCGTCGTTCACGGCTTCTTGCCATAAATCTGCATCCACTGAGGTTAGAGCTTCTTGGAGGGTAGAAGGATCCTCCTCTACATTCAGAACTACAAAGTCTGGGCCGAAGTCTTTTGCTACTCTAGCCCGCTTGCTCTTTCTTAGTTCGGGTTCAGCATCCAAGTCTTGTGAGTTAGACCTGTCTTTAGGAATAATAGAGGAGGACGTGCCCCCACTATTTCTAGATTTAAAAGGAAACCTGTCCTCATAAAAATCAACATCATTAGATTCAATAATTACACGAGCATTTAAATCAAAGAATCTATATGCCTTACTGTTAATAGCATATCCAATGAATACGCATTCATAAGCTCTACTAGCTAATTTGACTCTTTTAGGATCAGGAATCCTAACATATGCTAGACAACCCCAAGTTCTGAAATAAGAAATGTTAGGTCGTTTATTACGAAGTATTTCATAGGGAGAAACCTTACTCTTAGTCTTTGGAATACGATTTAAGACATAACAAACAGTTAGTAGAATTTCACCCCACCAATGATCAGCAGCACCAGAATATAAGGAAATAGCAACTACTAATTCTGTAAAGGTCCTATTTTTCCTTTCAGCCTTTCCATTCATTTCTGGGGAATAAGGAGCTGTCCTTTCATGTATGATACCATGTGAATTATAAAATTCTACAAAAGCATCAGTACCATACTCAGTTCCACGATCACTTCGTAATCTTTTTATTTTCTTGTTAAACTGATTCTCAAATTCTGTTATAAACAACTTAAACATTTCAAAAGCATCACTCTTATTTTTCATCAAATAAATACAAGTATAATCAGAACAATCATCAATAAAGGTGATAAAGTATCGTTGTCCATTTCTGGTCAACGTCCCATTTAGTTCACAAATATCCGAATGAATTAAGTCTAATGGTTCTGAATTTCTAATCACTGATTTATGAGGAGTTTTTGTAATCTTAGCCTGACTACAAGAATCACATTTGTCAAAGTCATTGAGAGAGATATTTGGAATAAGGCCTAAATTGCTCATATTTTTTATGAGTCTTTTGTTCACATGACAAAGTCTAGTATGCCAAACATTAATAGTAGAACACAACATATAAGCAGAATTAGAAATTTTATTAACTTCAACATTCAGTTTGAACATGCCATCAGTAGCATATCCTTTTCCTACAAATATTCCATTCTTAGTTAAAGTAAACAAATCAGAACCTATGGTTTGTATAAAACCAGCCTTATTAAGCAAAAAACCAGAAACTAAATTCTTCCTCATTTCCGGAGTGTGTAACACATCTTTCAGAATGAGAGTCCTGCCAGAAGTAAACTTCAACTCAACATTTCCAACACCAGCAATGTTAGTGGAATGGGAATCACCCAACAGTACTTTCTTATCATCGGTCTTTTCAGTGTATGTTTTAAACATTCGACGATCATAACAGACATGGCGTGTGGCACCAGTGTCTATCCACCACCCATCTGATCCACCAGTAAGGTTGATCTCAGTAATCATAGCCACAAAAGGCTCTTCAATCATGCTAGCCTGCGCTGGCACAGGGTTAGGCATGTTCCTGCACTTTCGTGCCATATGGCCTGGTTTTCCACACCGATAGCACAGAAATTGACCAGTACCATTCTTAGGGGGTTGTGACTGTTGTCTTCCATTGTTCTTTTGAACATTCGGTTTATTGAAGTTATTCTTCCGGTTCTGAGGTTTGAAATTCTTACCAGCAGGTTTAAGTACTGCAGCAGATCGCCTAGGAGCATTATTAGCAGAGATTTGTAAAATCTCTTCCTTTAGATCCTGTTTTCTGGATTCTTCTTCTATACGTAGCCGAGTGATCAAACTCTCTAAGGAGAATTCCTTAGTCTTATGCCTGAGATTATTTTTGAAATCTTTCCAGGAAGGAGGCAACTTGTTAATAATAACAGCAATTTGAAATTGTTCATCAAGGGCCATACCTTCGGAAATTATCTCATGGGCAATTTTCTGAAGGTCGTGAGACTGCACTTCCACGGACTTATCATCAGTCATCTGGAATTTTAGGTACCTACTGACAGCATACTTTTTGGCACCTGCTTCTTCAGTATCATACTTTTTTTGTAGGGCATCCCACAAATCCTTAGCAGTATTTTCCATATTATAATAGTCATAGAGGTTATCAGACAGACCATTAAGTATATAGTTTTTGCACACGAAGTCAGTTTCATTCCAGGTTTCGATTTCACTATTCAAGTAAGCTAATTCA